CCTGTCTTGGAGGAGAATGGAAGCAATGAGGCAGAGGCCGCAACTAGTGGCTCCATGGTCAGGGAAAGAAGCAGGCTGCTGCAGTTAAGAGCTCTCCTGAAAGCAGAGCAGTTTCCAGACTGGCCTTAATGGCCCCAGTGCCCACTGTGATGTAGCATCACCCAGCATATTAGCACATCAACAGAGCAGAGCAATGCAGGTAGTGAAGGCCAAGTGTGGCACTGAGAGGGCAGAGTATTCAGGGGCTCAAAGCTGACCAGGGAGAAGTGCAGCAATCAATATCACCAAGCCTACGGGAGGCTGGACTCAAACTGCCCCATCAAATCAAACCAGCAAGTAAGACATCCTCCCGACATATGAGATGAGTGCCTATGGCTGTCACAATATTAACTTTAAATGACCAGTGTGCAAACAAGCAGGTAAATGTAGTCCCTACATGGAAGGTAAAAAAAAAAAAAAGAAAAAGAAAAAAAAAAACATTATTTGTGAAGAGATATTAGACCAAGCAGGGGAAAAAACAAACAAACAAACAAACAACTAAAGGAAACAAAGAATAAAGAACTAACAGAGGTACCGGCTATCCTAAAGGGAGAGCAATCACTGAGAAGCAGGAGAGTCTGGAGCCAGGCTGTATGTGAAATAGAACTCATTTTCTGAGCTCAGTAAGCGACATGAGCTAACTTCAAGACATTTCCATGGACATTGTGCTGCCGGAAGAAGGAAACTAAGAGTGCCTCTGAGAAACACAGACAAAACCAAGTGCAGCAGCACAGGCACACAGGGCATTCTGAGGAGAAGGAAAGAGAAAAGGGAACATGAAAAGGCCTCCAAACAGACCGCCAACCCGAGAAGCCCCATGACCTCCAAGTACAAAACACAGATCCCGATTACCTCAACAACTATGGCTGAATGTCAGAGATAAAGACATAATCTTGAAAGCAGCAGGAGAAAAATGATGTCACTTACAGGGGACCCCCAGTAAGATGAGCCACTCAGTGACTTCTCACCAGACACAATGCAGTTCAGAAGGCAGAAGGATGGCATTCAAAGTGCTGAAAAGAAAAACAACCATCAGCCAGGAGTCAGCGCTTAAGAAAGCTCTTAGGGAGAAAACAACCCCAGGTAAACAAGAACTGCAAAAACTGTTGCTTTCCACATGGAAATCAAGTGAGGTCAGAAGTTGTGTGAATGCATAGGATGAAAATGGAATGTGTACATAAAGGAAATTATGTAGGTTGCTCCAAAAAGATGCCAGTGAGTGGTTCCCATGTGTGATTCTAGCACTGTGGGGGGGGGGGGGGGAGCATGAGGAAGTCCTGGACTTCATTGGAAAATCTGTTTCAAGGAAAAAGCACTCCCTCCACACACAAAAAGAAAATAAACAAAACTACAAGAATACAAGTACACACATACACACCTTTCTTGTCTTAACTGGCTTATAAAGGAACTGCAGAAAACCAATATGTTATAGTACTACCTGGGGTGTTTTAACATGCCTTCCATGACATAGTCTCCAAGACAGCACAGTAGCAGGGCAATGCCTGCGGTGGTAACTCAAACCCACAGAGACAAGAGAGGGTAGCCAAAACTTGCAAAGAAGCTTGACACAGTAGCTAACTTCTCCTTTCTCTCCTCATCTTCTTTGAAAGGAGTAAAATCTAAACAGAGTAACAATTAGAAGATACATAGTTACATTTGTAACACTCATAAACAAAATACAAATATAGTCCTCACACCAGCAAGAGAGAGAGTGGAATTACCCAGGACTTTCTATATCTCACCAAAATGAAGTCAGTACAAATTAAAAGGGCTCTGGTAAGTGAAAGTCTGTATTGTAAGCCTCAGAGAAACTAAATAAATAAATAAATAAATAAAAATTAAAAGTTATCAACATATAGTTAAAAATCACTAAAGGAATTAAAACTCCACACTATTAAAATAGTTAATAAAACAAACTGTCTTAAAGTTAAAAGAACAGGGACACACAAGAGACAAAAAGAATGACAGACAGATTAAAACATTAATCCAGGGGCTGGAGAGATGGCTCAGCAGTTAACTACACTGGCTCCTCTTCCAGAGGTCCTGGGTTCAATTCCCAGCACCTATATGGCAGCTAACAATTTTGTCTGTAACTCCAAGACCCGATACTATTACAAAGACATACATGCAGGCAAAACACCAAAAGAAAAAAAAAAAAAAAAAAAAAAAAAAAAAAAAAAAAAAAAACATTAATCCAATATTAATCAGATAATAGGATAGAAATGGTTTTGATTTTTAGCTTTACATTTATCTATTTGTGTGACTGCAATGGTGTGCATGTGAAGGTCAGAGGTCAGTATGTGAGAGTTATTTTTCTTCCTTTCAACCACGTGGGTCCGAGGATACATCTCAGGTCTCCAGGCTGAAGAGCAACTACCTAATACCAACTTAACTATCTCACTAGCCCTGTGTTTTCTTATTTTGTTTTGAAACAAGATCTTACTAAGTATCCCAAGATGGCCTTGAACTTGCCATCTGCCTGTTGTTCAAAGTGTTAACCACAGGTGATCCACAGAAGCTATGTTAATATTAGAATAAGCTTTAAGCTAGAACTGTGGGGTGGGTCATCGACCCAGCTCCTTGGTCAAACCTTCAAGGCCTGCTTAGACTGTAGTCAGTTCAGCAGAGGCAATTTAGTGAACCCAGTCTCAAAAGAAAAAGCAAAAAGAAGACTGGGGAGGTAACTGGGTGGTGGTGCCTCCCCTGCATGAGGCCCTGAGCAAGAAGAGAAGCAACAACAACAGCAAAAAAAGTCATAGAAGACATTTTATAATGGCAAAAAAGGTCAACTCAACAGAATGACACAACTACATATGAACCTAACAACTGTTCTCAACCAGGAAAGCAACAACTGTCAGAAACGAAAGGGGAGAAAGATAATTAACAAATATTGGGACATTTCAATGCCAACTTTCAAAAAGAATACAGTTGGGCAGATTAAATAATGAGGAAAGAGAAGGCCACAGGATTACTGTAAACAGTGACCCAACAGGTACCCACCTCCCCTCAACGGGGAACACCAACAAGGACCCACAGAGAGAACACCGCAGGAAGGGCCCAGAACGAGCTCCACTCAGAATATCTGAATGTGTTCTCGACAGCTACAGCAGAGGATCCCGGAAACCAGCAAAGAAATGTGTGACCCATAAGCATGAAGGTTGCAGTGCATTCTTAAATAGAAAATGCATTGAAGAAAAGGAGGAAACACTAAGACAGAAAAAAATACAATACAACAGACCAAAACACACAGAAGGCCAGTTCTCCATTGCACAGTGACTTTACAGCTGTAAACACAGATGTTTCAAAATACAATCAATAACCCTCCACATTAAAAAACCAGAAGACAGTGCTAACTGTGGCAAAAGCAGTTGGAAAACAAAACAAACAACCAAAGTGGGGGAGGAGTTAAAGTGGAATTAAGTAAACTAGATAAAGAAAAACCAATAAAACCAAAAATTGGTTCTTTGAAAAGATCAATAAAATCAACACACCTGTAAGTAGAATAACAAAAACAACGGATGGAGATGGGATGAAAATCAGAGTCTGGAAGAAGACAAGGGTTAGTACCAAGTGCACAGGAAGTAAAAAAAGATTACAAAAGAACAAGAAAAACGATGCGCCCTTGCCAGGCAGTGGTGGCGCACACCTTTAGTCCCAGCACTCGGGAGGCAGAGGCAAGAGGATCTCTGTGAGTGAGTTTGAGGCCAGCCTGGTCTACAGAGGGAGTTCAGGATAGCCAGAACTACACAAAGAAACTCTTTATCAAAAGGGAGGGAGGGAGGGAGAGAGAGAGGGAGGGAGGGAGGGAGAGAGAGAGAAGAGAAAAATGATATGCCCACAGCTGTTGAGACAAATCTGAAATGAAGGCACAGTACAGATGAACCAAGATGGGTGAAGAAAGCAACAGACAATCTAGATAGGCTTAGAACAATAGGTGGAGCTGACACTGTTAAGTCCAGGTCCAGCCTTATCAGGTAACCGTACCAAAATTCTAAGGAGAAACTGGCCCAACCCTTCACAAAAACTCAGGAACTTACTTCATTAGCCTACTGACCTATATTTAGGATATACTAAAACCAAAGCCATGGCAATGAAAAAGGACTCCAGACCAAAACTTTTCATGAGTATGGACATAAAAAAAAAATCTTCAACATAATATTAACAATGCCATCCAGCAGTTGAGAGGTAACCAGACTCCATAATCAAATGGAATTTAGTTCAACACACAGAAGTCAATCACCACAAAATACCATAAAAACAGAATAAAAGGCAAAACTCATGCAACCATCTCCACAGACATGGCACAGTGCCTGCCTAGCCAGTGCCATCCATGACAGCAAAACAAGCCCCTTCAGCTCACAATAGCAAGGGGCTCCCTTCAGCCATTAAAGGCAACTGTGAAAAGACAGAGAGTGGCAATGAGGAGAGATAGAAGTCCTCAATGGAACCAAGAGTGGAACACACAAATCTCTCGTCTCCATCCAGTGAGGGTGATGAGGAAAGACTGGAAAGGAAGCAAACTGCTATCCCTTCTTGCAGGTGACATGACCTTTTAGGTGGGCAATCTCAAGAAGTCCAGGCACTGATCCATGGATGACAGGTTACTGAGGCTGCAGCACCAATCACCAGGTAGAAGCCAGTGTTATTGCTATAGAGTAGCAGTGAAGGATTCAAGAGGGAATGGGAATAACAAGTCCGTTTGGGTATCATCATAACTTGGAACAAGTTTAAAGTTTGTAATCTTGAATTTTCTGCATCCATTCTTCCTTCCTTTGGGTCCACCCCTCCCTTGAAATCGGCAGGTTGTAAATATTCCAGGCTGAGAGAAGCAGGGCTGTGGGTTAAGTGTATCATGCCGTGAACAGGCCATTCTTGGTGAAGCAGCTTGTGAGGTCACAGTAAGTGCTGACAGAGGGACAGGCTGCAGGGGGGAAATGGAGGAGTGTCTCAGTAGTACATACCCAGGTAGGGCCGCCTGGGGGGGGCTTTGAGTTCTTCATCCTTACTGTCTGTGGCTACATTTAAAAAGAGAGAGAAACAAAACAAAGAAAAGAGACAAAAAACACTGTTTTTAACACTGGCAAGTGAGTATTTCCTGGCACTGTTGCATTTCTTAAAAAAGACAAACAACAACGAAACAACAAAGACACCAGAGCAGAAGATTTTTGTTTCCATTGTTCAAAAATCTACTTTCTGAGCTGATCTCCAGTCTCTTCAGACAGTGCACAGGAGGACGAGGGGAAATCTCTCCCCCAAACCTAAGCCAGCAAGTTCTCACTGTTTCCACAGTCAAGGGACATTAACTACTGTGATGTAACAGGCCCCTAGAAGCTCAGGCAGCCTGGGATTGAGAACAGTTAATCCGGGGCTGAAATGCTCTTACAGACTGTGTGGTACAACTATTTTAGAGCACACACAGCAATCGGTCCACTGCCAAAGGGCAGCCAGTTTCACTGTGAATGTGACAAACACGGTGCAGAGACATCATGACAAAGACAGCCTGCCTGGACAGATATCTCACCTGGAATAGTCAGAACATCAGGAAGGATCAGCAGTTATGCTTTAACCTCCCTGCTGGCACACACCAGGTTAATAGCCCAAAGCCCTCCATGCCAGGGCACCTCGGGGCAGCTGGCAGACTCTCACTTTCTGGGGTATAAACTGCTCAAACAGAGGTGAGGTCACAGGCTGTGTCCCTGGCAGCACACCGTGGATGTAAACAACTCAAAGCTAACAGTAGATGACCTCTTCCCTATGAAGAGGAGTGGGGGAACCTGTCACCAAATCTGTGGTTTGCAGACCACAGGCACCAGACAAAGTGTAGCCTCCTGGCACCCAGCTATAATTCAAACCAATTTTATTGGTACCTCTTTTAAAGATCAAGACCCACAAATATAGAACGAGAGAAAGAACATGCTGGAACATTCAGACACAAAGTGTGGGCAGAGCAAAGGCACAGTGGTAGTGGCCCAGGATGGAGAAGTGCAGGACATATAATGCCCCTAGGCACCTATTTTCACAGCCAAACAAGCTTAGAGTTGAAAACTGCTTGTTTACAGGGCAGACAGGACAAAGTCCCAAGCTGAGAAGAACATGAGGCAGCCATCAAGCATCTCTACAGATTTGTTCCATTCTCCACAGGCACTGGGGATCTGGAGCCCCAGAAATGGCTGGATGTTCATCAGGAAATGTAGCTCATGTCTTACCCTTGAGTGACTCTGTGTGTGTGTGTGTGTGTGTGTGTGTGTGTGTGTGTGTGTGTGTGTGTGTGTCCTTTCCAATCCTCAGATGCTATGTGACTTCCAAGGCCAGATTGTAAGAAAGACACAGCTCAGATCCTTCTTTCCCTACTTCAGTTTTAGGGTAACCTGAAGATAAGGCCCAAGACTCGTGTGGGAGGTCTTCAGCAAGTGTTCAGCTGACATGTATACCCCACTTCTCAAGACTCAGGAAGGCAGGTCTGCATAGCAGGACCACTGTGTGCAGGACAGGCCGTGGGCAATGGCTGCAGGTGGGATGGATGAGAGGGCAGCTCAGGCGACAAAGCCAAGGCAAGCCAGCTTAGAGCTGGTGTGGGATGCATGCACAGAAGTTCCTGCTGTGACTTGCAGCAGCAGTAGCAGCAGGGGAAGCCCTCTCACGAAATACTCCATAAAATGTGCCCAGGAAGGTTGACAGCTCAATGGCTCTTGTACACCCACAGAAGGGCAATCACCATGACCACCAATTAGGAACATTTTCATCACATGGAAGAATGCTTTACCCATAGGTAGACACTACCCATCTACCCTAGAAAGTCCCAACCTGGAGTTCTAAACACTAGGAATTGAGACAGAGAAATTCAACCACCTGACTTGGAGGCACTATTTAGTCAAATAACTACTAAAATAAATTTAAAATGAAAAATACAGTATAAAACAAAATTTAAATTAAAAAAAAAACAGAAGTTAGAAACAAATCACGCTGGGCATTGGTGGCACACGCCTTTAATCCCAGCACTCGGGAGGCAGAGGCGGGGAGATCTCTGTGAGTTTGAGGCCAGCCTGGTCTCCAGAGCGAGTGCCAGGATAGGCTCCAAAGCTACACAGAGAAACCCTGTCTTGAAAAACAAAGAAAAGAAAAGAAAAGAAAAGAAAAGAAAAGAAAAGAAAAAAATCATAATGGACACACATCCTGCTGGTGGAGTGTCTGGTTAAAGACACTGCTCACAGGGACGCTGAGGTTCATCTCAGCCACAACGTGGCCTAAGATCACTCAGCCCTGAGTGTATAACCCTCCAATCCACCCACTGTCCCAGCAACCACATTGCTGGCATCATTATTCTTGCTTATGAAAGCAGTATGGGCTATGACCCACATCCCATAATACTTTGGGTTCCTAAGAAACACAGTTGGGACACAGGTGGTAGAAGAGCTCAGTCATGTCTAAAGTGCAGCTGGTCTTGCCGCAAGGGCTCAGCAGAAGAGTCTGTGCAGTAATGGGGGGGGGGTCCCAAAAGACACCTCCCACCTCTGCTGTAGCCCAGAGAAGGGATGGTGCAGAGAAGAAGCAAGGTTCCAAAGACCTAGTGCTTCCACCAAGCACCCCCACTGGCCAGAACAAGTGGGCATCAGAAAGTATAACAAAAGCAGCCAAGTAGAACACAACATGACATACGTCAGCGTGATGTACAGCATCACAGCAGCTTCCAGGAAGTCAGTGGTGAAAACTGAGGGAGACCTCCACTTCCGCCACAAATCAATCCTGGCAGCTCAGTGAGTGGGCAGGGAGCCTCTGACCAGAAGTGCTCTAGCCGACAGAGGAACAAACACTATGCAGCCCTCAAGGATAAAGGATCCCCTCAGGTGACAATCCCGACAACAGTGTGTCCTTAAAACCCACAAAGACACCCTGAGGCCAAGAAACCTCTAGGTCCAGCAAAGTAGACACGAAGTCCTGTAAATATGAATTGGACTCTAAAAATGCTAAAGATGTAAATAACAATAATTCTCTGGCCAGGTATGGTGCACATACCTTTAGCTCCAGCACTCGGGAGACAGAGGCAGAAGGATCTCTGTGAGTTTGAGACCAGCTTTGTCTATATGGTGAGTTCTAAGAGTTCAAGGACCCCATCTCAAAAAAGAGAAATAACAACAGCAAAAATAATTCTTGATGGGCGGTGGTGGCACACGCCTTTAATCCTAGCACTTGGGAGGCAGAGGCAGGTGGATCTCTGTGAGTTCAAGGCCAGTCTTATCTACAGAGGGAGTGCCAGGACAGGCTCCAAAGCTACAGAGAAACCCTGTCTGGAAAACAATAATAGTAATTGTAATCAGGCAAGCACCACTGTCCCTGCAGTGGTTGAAAGGTCTGAAGCCCAAGTGACCCTCAGGTTCTTGAGGTGGGTCCTGCTCTAGTCCTTGAAATTAGAAGCTACAAAGGAGACCCAGAATAATCTTCTTCCTCATGGTCCCCCATGTTAATCACATCTGCAGAGGCCCTTCCTAAATTAGGTGACATCCCTGGGGCCAATATTATGCCCATAATGAGCTCCTGATACAAACTCCTATATCTCAGTCCTAACCCTAAAACCTGCAGTTCACTATTTTAACTCAAATAGTGGTAGCCTAGTTACCAAAATATTGCCTTAGAAATTTTACATAGAACAACACACAAGAGAACAATTGGGACTCCACTGCCCACACACTTTCTGGTCTAGACTGTCCTGTGGTATGACACTCCCAACCCCAGTATGCTCTAAAGCTCCCTGAACTCACCGTCAGTCACCTGGGGTGAAGGGACAAGTACAGTGTGGCTCTGAATAAATAAAAGCCGTGCTCTAAGCACTGCCTATGGTGCAAACCTTCTATAGCTATCATCTGACGTGGGTCACTGTCAGAGCCAATACACATGGCAATCCAAGCCACAAACCTGTCCTTGTATTTGCAGGCCAGAACAGTGCAAACAGGGCAAGCCTCTGGCATCCCGGAAATAACTCTCTCCTCGGGCTTCTTTCAGCATTCCCGCATGCAAGCATGGCAAGGGACCCACCACCCTGCAGCCATGACAACATCTGTTTCAAGTGGATGCTGAGGTTCAGAGGGGCTCAGATTTTGCTATATGGAAACTTGGAGCATAGAGAAGTAGGGCAGGCAGGTCACGCTTCTAAGAAGCAAGCCATGGTACCACATAGAGCCGTGAAGCCTTAGCTCCTACACGATATCCTGTTTTCTCTCTAGGTAGGATTCTCAATATTATCAGCACCAGCTCTGGTGTCGTCCTAACAAAATCACACCAGGAGGATGGTGAATAGATACCCAGGGACATTAGAGATGATATCAATGGGAAGAACAGATGAGAACAAGCCAAAAGATTGGTGTGAGCTATCATCCTTATAGGCTTCTCCCCGAAACCAGATGTGTCTGCTTTCTGCGAAGACAGGGTTGTCATCACCCGTTTTACTAAAACCGGGTAGAAACAGAAGGAGCCTGATAAAGGGGAAAAATAATCATCAGAAATAAAAAATATAGACACCACCTCCACAGCAGGCCCTACACTAAACACTAAGCCAAATACTTCTAACAGAAAGATTAACATACTCAGACAAATTCTAAGAGAGAGCTGTACTAGTTCACTAGCAGAAAGATAAAGGAAAGCTTTTGCTGGGTATGGTGGTTGCATACCTATCTATATTCCTAGCACTGAGGAGGCTGAGGCAGGAGGATTGAGAGTTTAAGGCCAGCCTGAGTTATGGAAAGAGAATTAGTCCCAAAGAAAGGAAAAAGACAAAGGAGGAGAGAGGGGAGGGGAATCAGAATTAGGAGGAGGAGGAATTGAATTCTCCTGCACTCAGGATGTCTAGCAGTCTCCACTGACTATGGAGTGCCTATCAGAAAGCTTTTATGAAGGAAAGGCCGAACACAGCAAGTATTTTGTGTTTTCCAAGCTGCCCAAGGTCAAGGAGTGTCTTGTGCTTAGCACGTGATGGTTCTCGCCCAGTCTTCAGACCACAGAAGACACAGACCCTGGGTGGGTGGCCGTGCCGTGTGGAACATGGCTACCAGGCATACTGATGGGGTTCAATTCACCTGGAAGCTGCACACAGACATGACCCTGGCTTCTTCAGTTCTTTGGTGACAACGGGCAGTCAGGACGTGAACAAAGTGCCAGGAAGAGGAGTTAGAACCTCACCCAGATTCCAGGAGAGAAATTCTTATCTAATTGTTTCAAACTGTGAAATGTTCAGTTCTTTTATAATATGGAAAATACTACTATGGATTACAGATAATCTCCATTTAGTGAAATGAAATCTGCCTTGATAATGCCGAAGTGGTTTTTTGGCTTCCCAAGAGCTAAGTTGTGTCTGTTGACTAAGCAAGACTTTCCGGGAGACATCACACGCCCACCTGAGAAGGAGCGGCGCTTAACGTTCAGCTCGTTGGCCACGCGGACCTCAGTGCAGAGCTTCAGCATCAGCAGCATGGTCAGGATCATCACTATGCTCTGCCACAGGAGCGGGGACTCGAAGTGCCTTCCGAACCTAGGGAGGGAAACAGAGAGCCTGCAGCAGGAAGGAAGCAGACACCAGTCCCCGACAGCAGAGCCTGAGCTGCAGGCTGGGAAGTGTGGAGAGGGACTTGTACACATCACTTGCTGCCTGCTCTTCCAGGGTCCCCGTGGAACTGGGCTAGGATGGGGAAGGGTCAAGGGACCCAGGTCAGACTCAGCAAGGGACCTGGAACTAACTCCATGCCCAAATGAGGCTTTCCCAAAGCCTCATTTCCCCTCCATAGACTCTGTGATCCAGTCACAGACTCCCACCCAGGGCCACATATTGGTATGAGAGGTCCCTACATACCTACCTTCCTGTCAAAATGTAACCCTAACCAAGCAAGACACTATTTCCAGACCACAGCAGCTGTGCTTCTTGCCTGGAGAAGAAATATCTGTGAAGGCATGGAGCCTAGCGCCAATTTTCCATATGCATCCCTCCACTAAGAAGAGAAGGCAGCCAAGGCTATCCCACCAAAGATCCTTCCTCCACCCCAGTCCTCTTAGCCCAGGGCCATCTTCCCTCCCTAGTTACCCCTCCCCCAGCTATTCTAGTGGCTTCCACTAGTGTTGAATAGTTTATTGACTGGGCCATTCGCTCTGGAGGTCAGAAGTGCAATTCAGCAACCAACAAGGTCTGTGGATCACACCCTTGGCAGAGCAGAATTCCATCAGGCTGTGACATAGAGACAAGCCCACACAGCTTCCCTTCCAAAGGCAGGCCCCAACTCAGCCTTAACCCTACCGCTGTAAAGCACAAAAATGCAGGCTAGAATTGTCCTGAGTTTGGCTTGAAAGTTGTTTCTAAGACCTTAATTGGTGGTTAGCACATGAAATTCAGGAGACTCTACAGAAGCCCCACAGCTCCTGGAAATTATGAGACTCCGCAACAGTGTCAGCCTTTCTCTTCCCCTTGGTCCCTTACTCCACTCTATCTCCTGGGACAGGAGTGACCTCCAGGCCTGATGAGGGCAGCCAGTAAACCTTGTTAATGCAGTACCCAAGCCCATATACTGGAGGTACATGGGGAAACAGTCTTGCTGATTCATAGCCAACACCAAGCCTGCTTAGGTACACATCCTATCACATCATCCATGTGGCTACTACTATGCCAGGAACCTGCTAAAAATCAATCCACAAATGAAAACCAAAGCATATTTCATATGCTGGTTGTATGGTACACTCCCATAGGGCCACACTTGGGAGACTAAAGCCAGAGAATTATAAGGTTGTGGCTAGCTTGGACAACATAGCAAGTTCCAAGCCAAGTCTGACAGTAGTAAATAATTTACAAAATAAAAGCATTTCACAAAACTCTGCATGCAGTGACAGCAATTTGTAAAAGACCAGCTGGAGACAGGGAGAAGCGTTGCCTGTATCTCAAAGACTGTGTTCCCAGGCCTGCGTGTTCCACGGGGAAATGCTGCCCCATCATGCACAATACACAAACCCTTTAATTGACCCAAAAGCTACCTTCAGTTCCTGAAAGTTGTGCCTACAAACAATTCCCAGTCAGAGAGAATTCTAACGGGCTTGAGGGCCTTCAGAGAGCTCTGGACATTCCCTAAGTAGCTTCCCATGGGATGTGCTGTGGCCTAAGTAAGCAGAACCAGCAGAAGATGTTACACAAGGGAGGACATGCTATAGCGAGGCTCCCTTCAGCAACGGGGCGTGTCTGTTCCCTTTGGGGTGGCAAGCCAAGACCGTATCTTCGAAGTCCAGGACAAGTCTGCTATGCAGGTTTCAAGGCCCAAATGCCCCCTGGGAGTTCAGAAGCTCCACGGAGTGCCTGAAGAAACTGCCTGAGCTTAGGAAAGCTTAGGGAGCTGACGGGAAGACAAAGAAAAGAGACAACCTAGGCACAGTGTGGATACGGAGCTAGCACAGGCAGAAGAACTCCGTTCTAGGATATGTCCCAGGGTCCTGTGGTTACCACACTGCCCCCAGATCTGTGCATATATGACCCACCATCTCGGAGCCTTCCTATTTTTACTTGAAAAGTGTAAATCATAACCTTAGAGTTATTGGGAGGCAGGCCAAGCCCTTAGTCACTTCTAGGAACTGTTCTTCCTCACTGGCTATCTTCCTCACTGGCAATTTGCTCACAAAGAGGGTTATGTGGGGAGGTTACATGGGAAGGTGTCACTTCAGGGCCATGCAAGGATGAAGGCAATTTCCCAAACAAATTGAGAGCTGCTACTAGAAAGACTACAGAGGACAAGGTCAAGGTTTAAGCTTCCATGTGCCACATCAAAGTCAATCCTAATAAGCTTGATTGCCACAGGAAAGGGGGGGACCACTTAACAGAGTGCCAGCAAGCAGAGCTGAGGATTTGGCTGGCTGGCTTTATGGGAAGACAGCAGCAACAGGACACACACAAATTTTCAAAAAGCCTAACTCTGAATGGCATAAGCAACAAATAGGAAACATTTAACATCATCAAGTTTACAGATATAGGAAGGTGTCATTTCTCACCAAAATAATGTCAACCGCCTCCTACTGAGTATATCTAAGAGTGTTGTCCCTCTCCTGGCTAAGACTGTGGGTTAATAGAACTCATTTGTGGGCAGGTGGTGATTGTCATCACACCGCTATGGATGGTGAGTCCGACGACTCTCATAGGAACGAAAGCTGGGGAGACGTGTGCTAAAAAGAGTGGGGTGCACAAGGCTGCCCAAGTCCAGCAACTGGTTCTTTGGACAACTTCCCCAAGCCTCAAAGTAACAGAAATACTCCTCTGGAGGAGGTTAGATATCTCTATAGCCACTCCCTACATATCAAAGGAAACTTATCACCATAGTAGCAGAATGTTACCACCTCTCAGATACAGGGTTTCATGCTCACAGCCAAGACCTGCTGCCAGCAGTGGTAGAGTCAGAGCACGGCCATCCTCAGATCTGCCAGGACTGGAGAACTTTGCTCAAATAGAACGTGGGCACCAGTCTTGCCCTTCTCCACTTCTACTACCTATCTTGGCCTGCAAACATTAGATAAAGGGATCACTTGGCTCCAGCCTGTAACATCAAGAATGCAAAATTCCATAACCCACATTTTATTGAGAACAGACTGCTAAAGGTGACTTCTCTAACATGATAAGGATTCTAAGAAATAAAGGTTTGAGAGTTCCCCAAGCTGGGCGGTGGTGGTGCATGCCTTAATCCCAGCACTCGGGAGGCAGAGGCAGGTGGATCTCTGTGAGTTCAAGAGCAGCCAGGTCTACAAGAGCTAGTTCTAGGACAGCCTCCAAAGCCACAGAGAAACCCTGGCTTGAAAAACCAAGAAAAAGAAAAAAAAAAGAGAGAGTTCCCTATAACGAGAACGAAGACGATCCGTAGTCCGTAAGGTCAAGATATCTTTATTTAGATAAACACCAGCCAAACTCAAGCCAGATGGTGCCAGGAGCAGCAAGGCAGGGAGGCCAGAGAGAAGGGGGCTCCCATGTGCTTGCAGCCCCTTAAGAGCCCATCCCGAATCATCCTGACCTCACCTTGACAGGCGTGGTCGGGCACACCTGTAGCCAGCCTCTAACAGGCGTGGCTTACTGTCCCCTGTAGTTCCCCAAGTTTCAGAATCCCTAGGTTTGCACAGTTGGATGAGTTCCTTTTTCTAAAGGACTGTCCAACCTAAAAAAAAAAAAAAACAAAACAAAAAACACAAACAAAAATAGTGTCCCAAACCTCCAGTGAGTCCGGAGATCTGTGTCCCAGCTAGTGTAAAACAGCTGGTGGTGCTACCTCTTTCATAGTTTGGAGGGCTCTCATCTCATCTGGAGTCTGCCACACTCAGGACCTGCTCTCCACCTTAGGGGGCAGGAGAGAACTGTATAAACAGGGAAGGGGTGTGTGTTCCAGTGGCTGCTCCCACTGAAGCACAGACACTACAGCCTTTGGCGCTGTGAAGCTGAGAAGATGCTGAACTGAGAAACCTTGAGAGGGATGCCAAGACTCGGGCTACAGAAGGCTCTGTGAAGAAGCCCATAAGAACCCCTACATCACCTTGGAGCATCAGTGTCCACAGATGGGCATCAGTATCCCAGACACTGTCCAGACTTCTGACTTTCTTAAGTCAGGATCGAGAAAGGTACTTCCCAGATGGAAACATTTAGGAGGGCCAAGACGCTCAGCCTCTCCCTTCTTCACAGTCTTCTAGAATGCCCTGGGTGGGCTTCCTGGATATGGATATGGATTCTACTAAAAAGACCATTTGGCCTCCACAAAAGGCAACCAGGCCCCCATGATGAAAAGTATTCAAAGTCTTCCCAGAGGGCCCAGCACAAAAGCAAGGGGAGCAGTCCCAATGTCCCTCTTCACTAGGGTACACAAGGAAAATGGCCTTACTTCTGATTGCTCCAAACCAGGTCAGTAGTCAAAACTCAGGCAGTACTTGGAGAAATTCATTCCTGAAGCCAAAACATGAATATCCTGTCCCTACATAAGCTAAACAGTGAGGCTGGGATACACTGGGCAGCCTGCATGACATCAAGGCTCCATCCTATGCACACAGAGCACCCAACAGTGTGAGCATGGCTGTACCAAAGGGTCTGCTTCCATTCAACCTTAGATGTAATTAAGCTTTTTCACTGCACCCAGCCACAGTGACAGCCCAGCTGGGGACCTCCACCTTCCTCCCAGGGGAAAACAAGAGGAAGGAATCTTCGAAATGCAATTTCCCAGCTTTTTAAAAACAAAAGTGAGAATTCAATGACCCATTCCTCAGAAGTCAACTGGCCCAAGACAAACAGCAAGGTGACATCCTCCAAGGCTGCTACAGTGACCAACTTATACCAATTCAAAGTCAGCTCACTAGCTGACCTCCTCATAGACCCAGGCAAGAACCCACTCCTGGGACACAGGGTGCCAGTGCTGGGACAGAATGCAAAAGTGCAGCATGAACTCTCTACTCATAAACTCAGGGTGGACACCTTTGACAAAGCTCACTAAACTGTACAAAGTGGGTGTGTTTTTATTTAATGTAGTTTTACTGCGTTTGTTTCTGCATGTGTGGAGGACAGAGTTAATTCCTTCCACCACACGGAAGAGACTGAACTCATGGTTGGTAGCAAGCTCCTTCACTCAGAACCATCTTGCTGACATAGTATGACTGATTTTAATTGATTGTAATATGAGTTAGTAAAAACTGAGGCCATTTTGAACAGTAAACAAAAAAGTCAACCAAGCCAGGCGGTGGTGGTACTCGCCTTTAATACCAGCATTTGGGAGGCAGAGGCAGGAGGATCTCTGAGTTCCAGACTAGCTTGGTCTACAAGAGCTAGTTCCAGGGCAGCCTCCAAAGCCACAGAGAAACCCTGTCTTGAAAAACCAAAATAAATAAATATATTTTTAAAAAAGTCAACTGAAAAGAACTCTGCCACCAACTTCCTGGGTCCCTCCTCCCTAGATTCCTTCTTCCTGGATCCCTCCTCCCTGGCTCCCTTCTCCCTGGATTCCTTCTCCCTGGATTCCTTCTCAGTGGATCCCTCCTCCCTGGATCCCTCCTCCCTGGCTTCTGCAGGTCCTTCATGGGGGCTACAAAGCCTTCCTATGTGCACAGAAGACTTGGAATTGGCCAAAAGAAAAACTACAAACATTTAGCATGTAGTGAGGAAACTTTTGGGGGGAGGGGAGCTGAGACAGGGTTTCTCTGTGTAGCTTTGTAGACCAGGCTGGCCTTGAACTCGGAGATCTGCCTGCTTCTCCCTCCCAAGTGCTGGGATTAAAGGCCTGTGCCGCCCACCACCACACCGCCCACTAGGGAGACCTTTTCTTATTTCTTCTAAAAATTCATCCTCTCAAGTATATAAGAGATAGCCATTGGTGGCACACACCTTTAATCTCAGAAATCAGGAGGCAGAGGCAAGAGGACCTCTGAGTTTGAACGCAAATAAGTCTACAAAGTGAACTCAGTGACAAAGTGAAACCCCGTTTCAAAACAACAACAAAATCGTCAAGTGTGTATGGTTTCAACAATTGTTAAAATTAATTTCAACTTCCTGGGCAGAATGAAAATGAAAAGGAGAGGAAGCTGACCCAAGAATGGCTAAGCATTATGTGGAAGTCTGATTTCCTACTTTAGATGATACAAGCCACATAGAAAATCAAGGGGAAGCTGTGGGGGTGTGGACCCACGCCTTTGATGCCAGTACTCAGGAGGCAAAGGCAGTTGGAGCTCTGCGAGTTTGAGGTCAGCCTGGTCTACAGAGCAAGTTTTAGAGCAGCCAGGAAACCCTGTGTCTGAAAAAAACAAACAGCAACAAAAACAAAGTCAGGGAGAAAGGATTGCAGAAGGCTCTCCCCGGATAGCAGAAGGCAAGTCCTGGGAAGCTTTCTGTTACTAAGTCACTGTATTGTTTCTCACTCTGGCACCACACACTAGAACAGAAAGGCAGGGATCCAGGAACTATGCCCAGAGAATGGCCCCAGGGTCTATCAGACAAAGGTAAGCATGGATTAAATGAAAGAGAAGATCTGGAGATTATATTTGACTCTCTGCTCCAGCCCTGCCAATCTTCCTGGAAATGACGCGTCCTGGTAAATTCAGTAATGATTCAGGCTACTCAACCACCATGGAAGAATAAGCGCCAGTTCTTCCAAAGGTCCTTCGGGGAAGAAGTCAGCGCCACTCGCTGCCTCAAGAACAAAGCCATCTCTCCAGCAGCGCTTCGAGGTAGGAAAGTCCTGAACTTACCAGAAGAGTATCCGTAAAATATTGGCCACTAGTAACACCAGGCACACATGGGTGGAGAAACCGTCGGCGTTCTGAGTCCTCCGGATGTCCCTGTACTGGGGGATGTACGGCACCACCCCTCCGAAGACCATAGCCCCGGCGGCCACCCAGGAAACCAGCTGGTGCAGCGGGACCAGAAGCCAACCCAAGCCTTCCACTTCCATCGCCAGCACCGAGGTCGCTATGCCAGCCAGACGTCCACCTAATCCAAGCACCTCTGCGCTCCACAGGCTGTCACCTCCACATGGCCGCCACTACCCTGCGCAGTCAGTTACCATTCCGACCTGGAAGGGAGAACAAGGGTAAAGCACTGACACGGGCTGGACCAAGACGCACCTGTTGGGGACCTGGAGTCTACCCGTGGCCTGAGAACCTTGCGCTCCACACCACAGCCTTGGAAGCCCAGGCTCCCAGGGGCGCGCCGCGGGGGTTCCCGGCACAGACAGGACCGGTCCTGCGCCCTGGAAGACTGGGGAGCTGGAGATGCGCGCCTGGCCCTCTGCCCGCCTCCCAGAGACTAGGAGTGCACGCCACCGAGTTAGGAGAAGGAAGGGGTGCACCGCCCCAGAGCGAAAGCCGCGGGGGTGACACCGCCCCAAAACGGGTTCAACTAGTGGGGGAGGGGTGGACGCGTGGCCCAGCGAGAAGCATAGCAACCTGGACCCTAAGTCCTCAGGTTCCCCAGGCAGGCTCCGCCCGACAGCGAATAGCAACCAAAGTAAAGCAAACCCACGACCCTTACCAGCCACACCGCGCCAGTCGGTCCTTCTGTCCCTCAGTCCCAGCCAGAGGAAGCCCCGCCTCTTGACGTCACAATGGACACCACGCCCACTCCAGGATCCCGCGGCTATCCCACTGGGTCCTAAAGCGCGCACTGCGGAGTGGGACCGAAGTGGCAGTGGGCACTCAGCTCTGTTCTGCTGTGTGTCCCAGATTAGGAAAAATCTACAGGGAGGCGTTTTCAGGCCAAGTGACCACGTGTACTTGTCTCCAGCTACCGCCGCGCGCTGGGCACAATGTAGATGTAATGCCGAGCCACTAACAGCTGAGGATGAGATACTGAGTGTTGAAAAAAGAACTGTCACAGTGGCCAGTTCTAGGCCTAGGGCGCCATCCTCCCCTAAATTCCAGAGTTTTTTGAAAGCCTCTGAGCAAGTCTACGAGGGGATGGCAACCCTTGCCCAGATCGGGGCTTGAGGCTACCCACTGACTAACCCAGGTGACTGCAGGGCTGGAGTCAGCACGCTACAGTTGCTGAGCCTCCTCATTCATATGTGAGGTCAGTCGTGCTCTGGGTGCTCATTTACAGGAAAAGAACATCGGAATTCCCAAATACGTCTCTGACATCAAACGGACCTGGTAGTCTGGACAAGCTGAACCAGAAGAACCCGTTGCCCTGCCTGTCAGTAGGGACCTATGCAATGAGGCGCCAGATGAGAAAGTGACAGCAAACATTAGAAAACTTATATCCAAGTCTGCCTGGAGTCCTTCTTCTGCATAAGAGGGACAGCATGAGCAGGGCAGTCTCCGCCCCGCCCCCAGAACACAACTCACCCCCACCCATCTCACCAGGTCTGGCCCTGTTTTCCAGGTGGTTCGTTTTGTGGGAAATCATTATAAGACTCACCTAAGATCAATTCCAAAGAAGCCTGATTGTCCAGGGGCCAAGAAAACACGGGGAAGCGCTTTCCCCACAGACCGCCCGACCGCACCCCCGCACCCCCCCTGCCCCCAGCCACTTCCTGAATCAACACACTTAATGCTCAGCACCAGGAAGGAACAGGAGTGAGATGAATAAGCAAGCAAAAGGAAGCCACGGCAGAGCTCAGTGAGGGCGAAGTAGGTGTTCCCATTTATTTAGCACATTCCTGACCCCAAGGCTCTGAGATTCTGTTGCTTCTCCTTGACTTTCTTGATGCATTGAAGGGGTCACATATGGTCACCTTGCTTGTCCTGAACATTCCAGGGCCTGTGGACACACAAATGGGGGCTTACTGCTCAGCATGTGCCAGAGGTACCTCCAGGAGTCCAGATAAGTGCACACAGTCTTGCATTTTGGTCCAGTACTGCACACCATGGTGAGGCAAACTCCATCTGTAGATCTAGCTGCAGCTGCTTTTTAACACCTTACTGGGGTTCTGAGCCCTTGGTCTAGAGTATCAGTGCAAGGACGGACATTCAGGTTTGTTTGTTTGTTTGTTTGTTTGTTTGTTTTTCGAGACAAGGTTTCTCTGTGGCTTTGGAGGCTGTCCTGGAACTAGCTCTTGTAGACCAGGCTGGTCTCGAACTCACAGAGCTCCACCTACCTGTCTCTGCCTCCAGAGTGCTGGGATTAAAGGCATGCGCCACCAACGCCTGGCCGGACATTCAGTTCTTCCCAGGTGCCCCACTAGCATCTGAATCCCCCTATTCCCAAGGAAGGAAGCCAACAGAGCTGTACAAGGCTGAAGAATGGCCTCCAGAGATGGTTTGCCCTCATTCTGACAGTAGTGCAAGCTAACCTATGTGGGGCGAGGGTGATCGTGTTTTTGCAGATGTGATTTAGTTAAGCATTTTTGTTTCTGTTTTGTTTTGGTTTTTGTTTTGTTTTTAGAGTCAGCGTTTCTCTGGAGGCTGTCCTGGAACTCACTCTGTAGACCAGGGTTGCCTCGAACTCACAGAGATCTGCCGGCCTCTGCCTCCTGAGTGCTGGGCTTAAAGGTGTGTGTGCCACCAACACCCAACCCCCAGTTAGTTAAGCATCTTGAACTGGGCCCACTTAAGGTTGGGAACTCTCCTTGGGGCCTTTTAGTACAATATCATGTATTTTCACTGGAGAGGACAGACTTAAGGATGCACAGAAGAGAAAACCAAAGAAGATGGAGCCGAGAGTGCTCTCAAAATGCAGTCCTGAAATCAGAACTGAGCCCAAGGTAGTCTGTGAGCCAGGATTTCAAAAGCATACAATATGAAGACATTTCAACCGTTTTAGAATAAATAAAAAGAAACAAAAATATACTTAAGTCTACACACTCAAATAGTTACTCCCAAAAGAGTTCTTTTACAAAATTTTAGTGATAAGTTTCATCAATAATACAGAAAGAGTAGCAGGAGAGGGCAGAGGAGAGGAGGAAATATGGGAAGGGATAACTGTCACTACAGGCCTTTTGAAAAGCCATATGGGAACCTGCTAGAATATAGAAGCTTCTAAAAGATATACATCTATAAAAGTTTAGAGTTACCCTATATTGGGGGTTCAAGATCCCAACTAGACGTTATATGCCACCAAATAAAACTCATAACTACCAGGAATTTGCTTTTCTGAGTTGTTGGCCAATGTGGTCCCATAGGACCTCCCCACCCCACAAACATTAAAAGCTATTGCCAAAACTATTATTTATGACCCAGAACTTGATAGTAAGATACCACAATCTTATGTCACAGAACATGAAGAAATCTAGCTGGTGGAAGCTCCAGCCCTACTAGCTAGCACTCACAGTGCTATGAAATCTTGCAAGCTACAGTAAGGACCTGCAATTCCAGACATGCACACAGGTGCAGCAGTGGCATGAATATCAGAGTATGCAGACTTCGTCAGTATCTGAAAGGGAGGCTGACCTCTTGGAATCAGTACAGGACATACCCAGACACCAAATTCTCCGCACAAAGAAGGGCAAGGGGAGTGCAGTGGGGTGGGGCGTTGAAAGCCAGCAGGAGCAGCAAGGACAAGCAGCAACCTAGAAAGGCCAGGCAGCAAAAGGGTGTGAAAGACCCCGGAGGCTCAGGCCCCCAGGATCTCGGTCCAGGACCTCGACAACCCCAATCACCAGACAGAGTCAAAAGCTTGATGCAAACAGCACGAGGTTTTATTGCAGTTGTTTTAACAAGATAACCCCATGTTAGCTCGGGCCTTTCATCCATCCACCATGGCTGATGGCTGGGAAAGATGCCGAGACGCCATGGCATAAAGATCTTATAGGGCAGTGTAAGGGGAGTGTCTAGGAGTATGCACAGGCTCAGGATTGGTGTGCCTCCAGGCCTGGAGAACTTGCCCTGTGTTGATTGGTCAACTGGTTGCTATGGCCCATAGGCCATCCCAGGGCGGTTGATATGCTCTGCACGTCATTGCTGTGCACTTGTCCATAAAGCACACCCAGAGCCATAAAGCATAGCACTACCAGCTAACTTCCAATTGGTTCCTTGCCACAAGGCAGGCATCTGACCTCCTAGTGACCAAGGCAAGGTCAGGCAAGCACGTGGTAGGCTGTTATAGCTGCTGAAATGGGGAGCTGGTCCCTTCATTCCCCCATTTTCTTTTGTGGAGATTCCAGTCATGGAATTGCTGTCTCTCCAGTGTCCTTATCAGGAAGTGAGAGATAATTGGCACCCCCTATGTAAAGGAGTTTTGAGGGGGAATGTGCTTCTGTGTATGTTCATCTTATTGATTGTTCAATAAAGTACTGTTTGCCAATGTGGCAGCACGTTAGGTGGGAGGATTCTGGGAAATGTAGTAAAGAAGTGGTGATCCAGGCAGGAAGTGACATAGCAGGAAGACTCATATTTAAGGAAGGACAAGCAGGAAGTAGTCCTCTTCCCCCTCTTCTCTTCCTCCAGATTCACGATATGATCCACCAGCAAGAGAGGACGCCAATGGAAGGTGTCTGATAAGTCTTATAAAATACATAGATTTTATGATAATTAAGACTGAGCTAACAGATGAGCATCCTCGTCATTGGCCAAGCAGCATTTGTACCTAATATAAGTCTCTGTGCATTAATTGGGCCCTAACTCGGCGGGCAGAACTCAGGTGGCTGGTGGAGACCATCCACGTGGCTGTAGGGTTCGGGCAGCTTTTGGCGGAAAGATTTATTGTAACAGAGTTTATTTTGACTTAGCATTTCAACCAGGGAAAATGGGCAACGTATTCTTTCCCATTCTACTTCCTGCTGACTTTGAGACGAAGTTAGGGACCCAAGAAGGCTGAAATGCTAGTCAAAAGCAAAAAGGGAATTCAGGCAATGGGGAATCCATCAGGAGCTTCTGGTTGGCAGACTCTGTTGCAGAGACAGCGGCTGTCCATATCAGCTGGACTGGTTCACATCCACAGCACATCCAGGGCTCGCAGTCTACTTAGGAACAGCCTGTAGTCAGCAACTGATACTCAGATGTGTCTGCCAGAAGCAGAAACCTGTTTAAGACATGTTTAAACTGGGAATAGAAGTTTTTGAAACCCACAGTGCAGAAAAAGCAGATATCTAGATATCTGTTCAAACAGCAGGAACATATTTATAACTTGGAGTCTTAGCAAAAACTACAGATTTAGGCTAGAAGCATGTACATTTGTCTTCTGTCCAGGAGCCAGGTATGGATTGGACAGAGGTGCCTTTGGCCTGATGAAAAGCCCTTTAAGTTTGTACTTAGATGACAACTAAAATAAACCTAAAAACCTTGAGCTTATGACTGAACAGTAGGTAGTCACTATTTTATCAGCTACCAGCTGACTATAGTCTATAGTGGATCTGACTGCCTGATGCTATTAAGCTGACAACCATTACCAACAATGAATACTTTCAGAGATCTGAGAAGGAAAAATTTCATACAGTTTCCAAATCTATTAAAAAGTGACAGGTACCAGTCCATATACAGTTAGCCATATCCAATTCTCCATCAGCATTGGAGGCAGAAGTATCAAAGAACAGCATCAATCTTTGTCAGGCCTACAAGGTGAGAGTTTTCTTTCTCTCTGTGGAAGAGGGACATGGGAAAGACTGACCTTATTTTGTCTAGGCAAAGGGGGTTCAATCAATGTTCCAGTGTCCAGCAGTTTTGTCCACAGTCTTGGCCAGGTCCTGGCAGGCAGTAGGTGTCACATTTGAGCATCTCGCTCACTGGTCAGTGTCATCATCCAGGTGCAGGAACTGGGGTGCCTCATAATCTTTAGAGACTTTGGGTCACTGTCAGGATCTGGCAGTCTGTTTGATATTACAAACTTTTAAAATAACATTTTAAATGCCATATTCTGCAGGTCTCTGAAGCATTAGAGTTCTGTCTGTCTGTCTTAGTTACTTGCCTTAAGCACATAGATGGCTAGGTAAGGCCTTATTTCTGTAATTAATTAATTTTCAGTCTGACCGTAACTGGTTTTAACTTAGTAAAATATTTGAAACTTAGCAGTTGAATTTAAATTGCATATAGAGTTACTTTATATTCTTTAAACAGTAGCCACATGTACACGTTTTAGTTGTTTGCTTAAGCTTAACTTCTGAAAACAAAAACTGTATTAATTTGTATTATAATACATTAACAGCTTTTATAAAACAAGAACTTTACATTGTTAGGCTTTGCTTAAAAATAATTCTAAAATAAAAACATTTTAAAAACATAAACATTCAAAAAACTTCTCTCATTTCTCTGGTTTTAAAAAGAAATTTAAAATCCCTTAATGTCTTTCTGTAACATATAGAAGCATTAACATTTTAAATCTTAATTGAAAACTTGCTTATAAGATGGTACCTCCTAATTTCCATGTGGTCACCTTTAGTCAAGATGGTGGTTCAAGTATCTTTTCAACTTCAGCAAAATAGCTACCAGCCAGCCACGTGACCAGCTTGACATGCGGCTGGCTGCAAAACGGCAGTGACCTGCACCATTTGTTTTAGCTGTATGCTTGTAACTTAGGTTATGCCAGGAAACAGATAGAACATTTTAAAACAAGCATACATAAATTACTTGAGAAATAAACAGAACTTTTTAAACAGAATTAACTTAATATGGTTAAAATTTTAGCTTATATTACCAATTTTTACTATTTGTAAGTATGAGAAACCATAACAAACAGTTTACATTTTTTTTCTGACCTTTAACAACATGTCCTCTGACCTTCTATGACTTTTGACCCTCTATAACTTCCTATATACCTTCAGTTCATTCCTCTGATTCCCTTAGACATTCTTAGACAAATTTCTTTCTCTTTCCCTCTTTATTACTTTAGTCTCCTACATTTTCTCTCATTTCTTGGTCGACATAGAAACTCTTTTTTTTGGGGGGGGGGTTGGAGACAGGGTTTCTCTGTAGCTTTGGAGCCTATCCTGGCACTCGCTCTGGAGACCAGGCTGGCCTCAAAATCACAGAGATCCGCCTGCCTCTGCCTCCTGAGTGCTGGGATTAAAGGCATGTGCCACCAACGCCAAGCTCAACATAAAAACTCTTACCAAAGTCCTTATAGTTTTTAATAGCTTTAAGGCCGTTTCTTTAGAACATCCAGATCAGGCCAGATGGTTCACCTGCCCCAGCTCCAAGTGCTCAGCTGGGGGGTGGGGTGCTGCTGGCAATCCCAGACCCTCTGCCAATGTGGGGGTGGGGAAGAGACCCCCACGGTTTCCCTGCTCCAGCATTCTGCACACCACGTGTATGTGAAGGGACCAGCTTTCATTTTTAAA